CAGAATTAGTAAAGTTTGACTACATTTATTTCAGAAGCATTTTGGCTCTAGAGCAGTGTATCATAGAGCAGGGGGAGCCAGTGGAGGGACCCAAAGAGAGGAGTGTCATGTTCAAAGTGACTTGCTAGGAAGATTATCTTTGCAGCAATGTTCTGAATGGACATGAACGGGTCAAAATGGCATTTGTCAAGGCCAGGGAGAAGAATGTTGCAGCAATTGAGACATGAAAGGAGGAGAGCTGGGACGAGAGCTATAGCTGTGTGAAGGGATAGGAAAGGCTACATCTCAGAGAGTTTTTGCAAGAAGATTTGTCAAGATTTAGACATAGCCTGGATGTGAGGAGCTAGAGAAAAGTTGTTTCACACGTTTTTGGATTGGCTTTCTTTGTAGGAACCAATCCCTGTACAGCATGCTCTATCCACGCCATGTGTGACTTACTCATCTTTATGTTCCCGTCTTATCTCGTCCACTGTTATCCTATCCTTTGTAAATGATTCCCTTGATGTTCTCTGCCTTATCTTGGCTAGTTCAGCCATTCTGTCTCTTGGTTTACCATGCACTTATCTGTCCTGGTTAGCATAGACATTCTGTGTTCAGCCTGCTGATCTATTCACAGTACCTTACTAATCCTGCCTCCTAAAAAATGAGGCCTCTCCCATGTTCAATTACTCCCATCAAGACAGGCCTGAAAGGTCGAGATTTCACTTTGGACAGAAGGAGACAGGTCTGGAGGAGGGAGGCAGATCTGTGAGTCATCAGTATAGAGGTTGTAGTGGAATTTGTGTTTGCGGATGAGATTACACAATGATAAGGGGTAGAAGGAGAATAGAAGGGGACCAAGGACAGAGCCCTGTGGAACTCCCACAGAAAGTTGGAGGGCGGATCCTCTGAAGGCATCAAAGGAGTGATTACAGATGTAGAAGGAGAACCATGAGAGGAGAGACATGGAAGTTAAGGGAGAACGTGATTTCAAGCAGAACAGCATGGTTGACGGAGTCAAGGTGTCGGATCATACTTCCTTTGTCCATTTTGTCTATTTCAACAGTAACCTCTACAGGGCAGGGACTGTCTCTTTCTATGTATTAGTACAGCTCCCAGAAGGTTGAGCCATCTCTCTTCTAGTAAATATAGGCTGGGATTTTCCAAGAGTCCTACAGGAATTATGTGCCCAACTCTCATTGACTTTCAGTGCACTGGGCACCCAACTCTTTTGCACTCCTTTCATAATCCTAGGTGTACTAAGGAGTCTCAGTGCAATGTAAAAGCTGGATTGCACTTTAGGCTCTGAACACAAGGCTTGTCTATTGTTTATTTCCTATTGATCGGTCTCTCTCTCTCCCCTTGTTGATTAGGGTCTCCCTGAAGAAGGGGAAATCCCTGAGGCAGAACCTTAAGGAACATGGCTTGCTGGAGGATTTCCTGAAGAAACACCCTTACTACCTGGCCTCCAAGTATTTCCCCAGCCTGTCCAATGAGTTTGCCAGTGAGCCCCTCACAAACTACATGGACGTGAGTATGGCAGGAGAGCAGGTCTTGTAGCCTCTCTTTCCTCATCAAAGCTTCCCACTCCTCTGCCAAGAGCTGATCTCTCCCTCCTCCCAAAAGTGCCCCAACCGCACTCCCCCACCCATGTGCTTCCAACCAAGCTCCCATCTTGCTTCAGCCAAGAACCCGTGCTGGGCCACCCAGCCCCCAACTGTCATTGGATGGCATTAAGAAGAGCATTGGGAATAGCACTCCCAGGGTCTGCTGGCTGCCCTCTTCCAATCATGCTCTTCCACACGCTGAGATTCAGGGATCTGAGGCTAAATAACTGTGTGCATTTGATCACCTGTGACTATTGGATGCCAGGAGGTGCTAGGAGCCATGCTGGGGAAAGTGATGGCAGAGAAACACCAGCTCAGGCTGGGCCTTTAGCAAGGACACTGTAGCCCAGACCCTCAGCTGGTGGAGCTACGTTGGTTTACTCCAGGTGAAGATCTAGCCCTTGGATGGCAAGGGTTCCCTCTTTTTCCATTATTTTTTGTCCTGCTTTGACAGGTTGATTATTATGGAACCATCTCAATTGGCACGCCTGCTCAGGATTTCACTGTCATTTTCGACACCGGTTCCTCCAACCTGTGGGTGCCCTCCGTGTACTGCTCCAGCACAGCCTGCAGTAAGTCACCTGCAACATCTCTTGCCTTGACATTCCAGCTGGGCGGATTGATTGAAATCATAGAGATTTACATTAGCAAGGAGGAACCTTAATTGAAATAATTGATTTTAATTATTTTTCTAAAGGAAGTTGATTCTCACTGGTTTGTAACCACTATAAACAGTTTGACTTGCAACTATATATTTACATTATATTTGCTACTTCCTTTAGCAAATCAGGGGGATACACTATGTCAATACACATTTATTTAAGCAATTAACATAACTTTATATACATTTATTCAAATTCTTACTTTGTTATTTTAGAAAATGGTGAAGGAGGCGTTTCTTATTTACTATATTATGATTAATTTTTGGTTTGTATCAGACTCAGTTTGGATGGAAATTGGAAAATTCACTTTAAAATTCAAAATCCAGCTTTTAAAAAAAATTAGTTAAAACTCCTTTCAATGGGCTGTATATACAAGAAAGAAAAATTTATCAAATGTTTTGCATTTAAAACTAATTGATTTATGAAACAAAGGAAGTGCTATCTGTAGTCAGTGAATTGAACTATTGTTTCTGACCAGCGTGTCCTACAAGATTTTAAAATTTGTAGAGCTCATCCTCTCGCACCTAGCTTTTATTCAGAGATTGGAAGAGGAAAACAAGTGTTCCCACTTTTTTAACTCCCAATCGGTTACTTAAGTTGGAATGAACTAGTCCGTGAACTGAACTAGTTAATAAACTGACATGAAAAAAGTATTCTCTCTGCACCTGCAGAAGAGGCTACTGCTGTCAAAAAAGCTCGTTTAGCACTGAAACAAAGGAAACTCTGGTTCCAGGTGCAGAGTCAGTGAAATCTTCCTGTTCTGTTGACTTTCTTTAAAGCCAGAAACATGCACTGCTTAATAATAACCTTTGTATTTAATTTAAATGATTTTAGTAGATTTTAGTAAGTTTAAGCCTTACCATATGTTGTCATAATTTCAAAGTTAATTTTAAATAGGTTTATTTTTAAAAAGAAAAATATACTGACATTTTAGAAAATCTGATTTTTTTTTTATCGTTGATTTTTATTCACCCAGGAAGTCAGAGTGCAGCAGGTCTCCCTCCATTGTCCCTCCACATACTACACAGTGTCAGAGGTGGAATAGGCCCTAGTAAGACAAGAAGCTAGATCCACAAAGGCACTTAGGTGTGGCAATGCTGAGTACTGCAATGTGTGACTCTTAGGCACCCTGATCCCACCAAGGAATTCACAGTCTCACTAGTCCCCCAGGCTCTCCATACAACGCATGGGGAGAGTTACAAGTGTCAGTCTGTGACCATCTGACTCTTCTGTACTTGTAGCAAACCACAACAAATTCAACCCATCAGACTCCTCCACCTACCAGGCCACCAGCCAGAGCCTCTCCATCCAGTATGCCACCGGCAGCATGACCGGAATCCTGGCCTATGACACCGTCCAGGTAAATCACAAGAAAGGATCAAAGCCCCTGGAGCAGACATGGTGAAAGATTTGGAGTTAGAAGGACAGAACGCATCTGGGAAGCTAAAGCTGAATATGGGTATGAACTGGGAGAGGGGGGATAGAAAAAGGGAAGAAAAGAGGCAATGACACCATTCACAGAATATTCTCATATGGGGGAGAGACCACAGTGCAGGGCATGCCAGCCTCTAAGAACTCCCCAGGCCGTCAGGACCCTGTGATAGACTTGGCAGCTTCTCCCAGGGTGTAGGGTGTGTCTGATTGTCCCCATCCCTCTCCCAAGGTTGGAGGCATTGTGGACACCAAACAGATCTTTGGTCTGAGTGAAACCGAGCCTGGCTCCACCTTTTACTACGCCCCCTTTGACGGGATCCTGGGTCTGGCCTTCCCCAGTATCGCCTCTTCTGGAGCCACCTCCGTATTTGATAACATGATGAATGAGGGTTTGGTGTCCCAGGACCTCTTCTCCGTCTACCTGAGCTCATAAGTCAGGGCTGGAAACAGCCCATCTGCTGCAGTGAGATTCATGTTCCTATAGCGCCTCTCACAATGAGTGATCCCTGCAACGTTTGCATCAGAATTCCCCCAAAGCAGCCACCTCTGGGGTGGAATATGGCCACTGTTCTATGCTAGTGGGAGCAGAAATAAACACTAGGGCATTGGTATTAACCTGACTCCTAGGAGAAGAGTTTCCCCTAACATGTCACCCAGATGATACCCTGGCTCAACACCTTCTAGCACCAGGCTGAACCATCTGCTCCGTACTGACTCTGAGGGAAGAGCAGCACCTACTGAGTCACTGACACCACTGCCTCAAACACCTGGGCCTTTGCTTGGTGGTCTCCCATCCACATATTGGTCAGGCCCAAATGTGCTTAGCTTTTGAGATCTAGGAAGAGAAAGCCCAAAGTGATATCAAAGCAGGGAGTGAGGTGCTCCTCTCATCCAACCAGCCTGTCCTATCTCTGGTACTAGATGCTGATGTGCCCAGCTCTGACTGTACCCCAGCACTCCACAGCTGTGGTCCTTCTCTAACAGCTGGAGCATTTGCTATTGTCTTGTTAGCCGACCATTCATACATCCTCCTTGACTCTCCTCTCTCCCTTCTCCAGCAATGGCCAGACTGGGAGCTTTGTGATGTTCGGCGGCATCGACTCATCTTACTACTCTGGGAGCCTCAACTGGATCCCTCTCTCCTCTGAGACTTACTGGCAAATCACCATGGACAGGTATCACCCACCCCTTGGCCCTTCCCCTTCAACTTGTTAGTTTGAAAAGACATGCAAAAGGAGATGATGTGGGAGCCGGGGGAAGCTCAACTTAGAGTCTAGACAAGATGAGAGACAAGGCAGAGTTATAGGAAAGGGGCTCACCAGTGAGGCAGTTAGATGAGTGGTTTTCCACCTCACCCATACCAGGACCCAGAGATGACCTGTGTCTGCCACTACTAGGGGGGCAGGGTAAGGGCAGCACCACCACCCCCGCGTCCCCTTTGCCAGGACCCCTCTCTCCTCTGTTTAGCAATAAAGTAAAGGGCAGGGTGGTCATGATCCCTTGACATCTGTTTGAGATCCCCAGGCTAGGTCGGTCACAGTCCCAGAAGGTTGTAGGATGAGGAGCGATGGGCAATAGTCAAGGAAGGAGAGGTCGAGGCTGAAACATCAGGGGAAAGTTTTTGGCAGTCAGCAAGAATCATAGAATCATAGAATCATAGAATATCAGGGTTGGAAGGGAAGTCAAGAGGTCATCTAGTCCAACCCCCTGCTCAAAGCAGGACCAATTCCCAACTAAATCAACCCAGCCAGGGCTTTGTCAAGCCGGGCCTTAAAAACCTCCAAGGAAGGAGACTCCACCACCTCCCTAGGTAACGCATTCCAGTGCTTCACCACCCTCCTAGTGAAATAGTGTTTCCTAATATCCAACCTGGACCTCCCCCACTGCAACTTGAGACCATTGCTCCTTGTTCTGTCATCTGCCATCACTGAGAACAGCCAAGCTCCATCCTCTTTGGAACCCCCCTTCAGGTAGTTGAAGGCTGCTATCAAATCCCCCCTCATTCTTCTCTTCTGGAGACTAAACAATCCCAGTTCCCTCAGCCTCTCCTCATAAGTCATCCTCCAGACCCCTAATCATGATAATGATGTCACTTGAATAGATATGTGGACAGTGACATCATCATAGGGCCTAATCACATCAGCCATACCATCAGGGGCTCATTCACCTGCACATCTACCAATGTGATATATGCCATCATGTGCCAGCAATGCCCCTCTGCCATGTACATTGGCCAAACCGGACAGTCTCTACGCAAAAGAATTAATGGACACAAATCTGACATCAGGAATCATAATACTCAAAAACCAGTGGGAGAACACTTTAACCTGTCTGGCCATTCTATGACAGACCTGCGGGTGGCTATCTTAAAACAGAAAAACTTCAAAAACAGACTCCAACGAGAGACTGCTGAGCTGGAATTGATAATCAAACTAGATACGATCAACTCAGGATTAAATAAAGACTGGGAATGGCTGAGCCATTACAAACATTGAATCTATCTCCCCTTGTAAGTATTTTCACACTTGCTTCTTATCAAACTGTCTGTATTGAGCTATCTTGATTATCACTTCAAAAGTTTTTTTTCTCTTACTTAATTGGCCTCTCAGAGTTGGTAAGACAACTCCCACCTGTTCATGCTCTCTGTATGTGTGTATATATATCTCCTCAATATATGTTTTCCTTCCCCATTATAAGAGTTTGCTCCCCTCTGGGGAGGAACAGGCAAGCTGCTTTAACAGCACACAGCAACACCAGCTGGTAGGTGGGACAGGCAGTGGGGAAGCTCAAATCCACTTATAATCACAGCAGGATTTCTGGTGGCAGAATGTAATTGCTCCCTTTGGAATCTGGCCAGGAGCCTGGGGAGAGCATGCTTTGCCTCCCCAAGGGATGTGTCATGAACAGAAGTGGTCAGGACCTTGCTTCTCTTCCCAGTTGACAGACTGCACCCCTTAGGCTCAGGCTTAGGAATTGGGGCTGTTCTGAGGCCCAGATCCACAAAAGTAGCTCACTGGGAGTTAGGCATCTAAGTAGCACCAAAAATTGGGGCCCAACTCACCTATGCCACTCCCTGCAGCCTATAGAGGTCTCCCATCAAAGTCCCACCCAGCCTAATGCTCCTTAGTGTGGGAGCTCTGAGATTCCAGCCCGAGATGGTACAGGCACAGACACCTGCATGCCCTAAGGATGATAACTCACTGAAGTTCCAGCCAAATAATTACCATGTCTTTTTTTCCCCGGTGCAGGAGTCAGGCTCTTGTACCTCCGGCTTTGAAAGCATCGACGTCCCCACCTCCTCTGGAGAGCTCTGGATCCTCGGAGACGTCTTCATCCGCCAGTACTACGTTGTTTTGACAGGGACAACAACAGGCCCTGGCCTTGGTGGCATGAACACAGCGCCGTCCCTGGGACACTGTCATGGAACACTGACCCTGGAGAGTCTCCGTTTCTCCAGAGCCCCAACACCGCGTATCGATCTAGTGACCCCCACCCCACACTCACCCTCTATCCCATAATCTTACCCCCGGTAGAATAAAGGAATATAAGAGCATTTGAGTGATTTTTTTTCTATTTGATGGAGTGAATGACTCAGAGTCCACCACCGGGAGAGAGATGTACCTTCTGCCAGCGCCCCTCATTCCTGATCTGTAGTTCCTACTGCTATTCCAGCCTTGCCCCTCCCCATTTCCCAGTCTGCCAACCCTCCTCACTCCTGACCCATTTGATTTTGTTATTTCCATAGTAACTTGTGTAATGGCTTTTTGGGTGTGAGCCCTGCAGTCAAACCTACGTAGAGACCTGAGCTCTGTCCTCCCCTGCATTTTCCTGCTGAGCTATCTGCACTGTAGCTCCCCATTCTAGGGGTCAGAGGATGCTCATTGGTCTAATGATTTACACCCACTCACTGGCTGTGCCCATCCTGCTGTCTTTCACCCTGGAGCTGGCTGAGGGTTGCCCGGTTGCCCAGCGCTTGGTGCTGTACAAGGCCATGCCAGAGTCTCTGCTCTGAGTCATGGTCTCTGACACAGAACAGTTACGGTCTGAGCCAGCGCCCAGTAAAGACTCCTATTGACTCCACTGGGCTTTGGATCAGACCCTTAGTGTGCTGGAGACCATTTCCTGGCCTACGCTTCAGTGCTGTTTCATACACTGGGGCAAGTCCCCGGCTGGCTCACTCAGACAGCTGGGATTTGCTCTGGGACCAGAAAGTGACCTAGTCCTTAGTGCTCCTGACCAACACAAACGAGGAGAGCCTGGGCCAGCAGGAGCTCAGGGTCTATGGAGAGGATGTTACATTCTGAGGTGCTGATAGAGCTGGGGCAGATTTCACTGCATGTTAGAAACTAGGAAGAGCCTGATTCTGTCAGTGATGAGGCCCAGCTAGCCCAGTTTCCTGTCTCTGGCACCAGCTGCTTTAGAGGAAACTCCAGAATGAATAAGCAGGGACAGATTTCACTTCACTGGGGAAACTCAGGAATAGCCAGACTGGATCAGAGCTGAGGTCTATTTGCCCAGTGTCCTGTCTTCTGGCACCAGCTGCTTGGAAGGAAACCCCAGAATGAAGAATTATGGAATAACTACCCATGGCCTAAACCAGAGGCAGCCAGAGTCCCATTCCCCAGCCACTAAGCAAGGGGCAAGGAGCGGCTAAAACAAGGCACCCAGGGAAGGGCCACAGCCCAGAGATCTCACAAACCGCAACAATAAACGTAACTCGCCTGGTCCGAGGACCTTCACCCAGCTCTGCACAGAGGAGTTTTCTAAGCACATGGCTTGGCAGAGAAGCCAGTTTGGGAAGGTGCAATGTGATTTAGACCAGAACTGGTTCCACTCACTAACAGGAAGAAACCTTGGAAAAAGACCTTTGTGCATCTTTCCGGGCAAGTCTGTATAGCCCCTTTGGAAAGAGTCATCGTCCCTGTGTTGTCCTCAGACATGCTGACTTGTACTCAGACACAACAAAGGAGGCTGGAGGAAGAAAGCAGGGGGTACTGCTGAGTACCCTGTGACCCAGAGGAAGGGGAAGGGTCTGGTTCCCAGTTGTTCTAACAGGGCAGGGCTCACTTTGTGACTCAGGGAATAGTAATGTTTGATTCAAAAGCTGATGGCCTGATTCAGTTTATGAGGCCTTCTACACCTAGAGAAGTAACAACAAACTGCAGTGTAAGAAGGACAATCAAACAGCTCCTCCCATTATGGTGTTTATTTATGGCATTAAACTGGGGTTCCAGACATCTGAGTGCAACTCCTGGTTGTGCCACAAATGCCCTGTGGGACCATGGGCAAGTCACTTTCCTTCTTTGTGCCTCAGGGCGTGGCGATCACTGCATGGAAGCTGGTGCCGCTGGACTGCTACTGGTCAGTCGTGAGTCAGTTTGGAGTCAGGAAGTGAACAGTTGAGGCTGCATTAATGCAAGTGTGCAGGGCCATTAATTGCATCCTGCTACGAAGGACTGTGACTCTTGGAAATAGTGAATGGCTTTGCGGCAATGGGATTCCCTAACTGCGGCGGGGCAATAGATGACACGAATATTCCAATTTTGGCCCAGGACCATCTTGCGATGGCGTACATCAATAGAAAGGGGTACTTCTCTATGGTATTGCAGGCATTTGTGGATCACTGTGGGTATTTCACTGACATCAGTGCAGGGTGATCTGGGAAGATGGATGACACGCATCTTCAGGAACACAGGCCTGTACAGAAAGCTTCAATCAGGGACTTTCTTTCCAGACCAGAAGATTCCAGTGGGCGATATTAAAAGACCCAGCATACCCCTTACTCCCTGGGCTCATGAAGACTTACACGGGAAATGTGGACAGCAGCAAGGAGTGCTGAGTAGGTGCAGATTGACCATTGAATGTGCTTTTGGCAGATTAAAAGTGCGCTGGCACGGCCTTTTGGCAGGTTAAACCTAAATGAGGAAAACATTCCAATGATCATAGAAGCCTGCTGCATGCTCCATAATATTTGTGAGGCTTGGATGAAAAGTTTACCCTGGGGTGGAACTCATAAGTGGATCGGCTGGCTGCTGAATTTGAGCAGCCAGATACCAGGGCTATTTGAGGGACACAATGGGGGCCATTTGAATCAGGGAGGCTTTGGGGTAACATTTTGATAATAAGCACCAGAAATGTGTCTTTTTATATAGCACTCTGCCACGCTTTGTTAGCTTGCCACCTTGCATGAAAATTGTGATTGATTCCTGACCATGATTTGTAGTCAGCAAATGATCAAACCACCACTATGTGTTACTACCACCCGCAACCACCAAGTGTAGGAGACAAATAAAGATTGGTTATCTTTCAGAGAATTTTTGGTTTTTATTAAATACCTATTAACAACACACACAAAAGGCTTGGTGGGAAGGGAGATAAGAGTGCAGGGCAGTGTAGGCTCTCATAGCTGTGTGTAAATCCAGCTATCATTTTGGAAGCTGTCTGAAGGGGTGGAGTGACTGGGGTACTGAGACACTCTGGGAAGTTGCAAGGAATGTGTGGGAGGAGTTTGGGGAGCGCATGGAAAGCAGTTCTGTATCAGCTGTGGGGAATGGGGCGGGCAAGCATGTGTTCAGCTTGGAGTGTGATTAGGGACTTCAACATCTCTGTTTGCTCCTCCATCACTTTTATCATCCGCTCCTGGCCCTTTACAATTCGCTCCTCACTCTCCTTTCTGTACTGCCTTTCTATTTTAAATTTTTCCTTGAGGCTCTCTCTCCACTCCCTTCATTCTTTTCTTTTTGGCCTCTGAAGATTGGAGCACCTCTCCGATCATGCCACAGAATCATAGAATCTCAGGGTTGGAAGGGACCTCAGGAGGTCATCTAGTCCAACCCCCTGCTCAAAGCAGGACCAATCCCCAACTAAATCATCCCAGCCAGGGCTTTGTCAAGCCTGACCTTAAAAACCTCTAAGGAAGGAGATTCCACCCCTCCCTAGGTAACCCGTTGTTGACCTGAATTTGATGGGTTAGTTGTTATGGCTCGCCACTGATCGCATCCGACCAGAAAATTTATAGGTTCTTATCAATTCAGACTACAGAGTTCAAGAACTCAGAGAGTTCTATATCGGGAGAGGACTCTCGGGGTGCTTGGCAAGAACACGTACACTGAGGACAATACCAAATTGATAAAACCTTTATTGAAATTAACATAAAAATAAGAAATACAATGAAACTTATAACTGCAAAACAGTAAAAGAATTCCAAAACTCCTGGTGGTAACATTTCTATTATGAGTACCTTAACCTAGCATACCAGTAATAGGGGGTGAAGGACCAGCCTCACTCCTGGCATGCCCGATTACGCAATAGTGCTGGCTTCCCCAATGGTTAGGAATTTTGAGTAGTTATACTATACTGCACAAGCTGAGCTGATAGCGTGATAGAAGATAGAATAGATAGATAGATGAAAAGATAGTCTCTAGAGTTTAGGAGAACTGGAAAAAGCACTCCAAGAAACTGAAGCTTCAGGAGTTAGAAGAGCCTAGAACCTAGAAGAGCCTAGAACTTAGAAGAGCCTGGAAGAGATCTCTTACAAGGTATTTTATAGGATCCTGACATACGTAATTCAGGCCCAACCTACTATACCCAAATCTTATTTCCATACCCTAAGAAATTTATGGGTACCCTTCTCCTATAGGTTAGTGGATTATGACACTTACTTTCTAAATACATTAATAAGGATTATCTCACTCCAAAACTACCAACCTAGGATTTCTTGGTGACCTCCAAGTTGTGGTGTACCCTGCGGATACCAACCGGTTGTAGATGCCGGAAAAACCTGTGATATGATGTGGATAGTTCCTCCCTTTGGTTCCCCAAAGTTCAGGGACCATTCTTATCCATGCTAAAGGTTGCCAGCTTTTATGCTGATGTATTCATAACTGATTATACTTTTTGCTATATAGCAGATCTTACCGGACCTGACAGGCCGGTAGGCTTCTTGCATTTCAGCAAAACTTATTATTAGGAAACACATGTGTCATAACTATAAAGGGAAGGGTAACAGCCCTCCTGTGTACAATACTATAAAATCCCTCCTGGCCAGAGACTCCAAAATCCTTTTACCTGTAAAGGGTTAAGAAGCTCAGGTAACCTGGCTGACACCTGACCCAAAAGACCAATAAGGGGACAAGATACTTTCAAATCTTGGTGGGGGGAAGGCTTTTGTTTGTGCTCTTTGTTTTGGGGAGAGTTCGCTCTTGGGACTAAGAGGGACCAGACATCAATCCATGCTCTCCAAATCTTTCTGAACAAGTCTCTCATATTTCAAACTTGTAAGTACAGCCAGGCAAGACGTGTTAGTTTTATCTTTGTTTTCTCAACTTGTAAATGTACCTTTTGCTAGGGTGTTTACC